GCGACTTCCTCGAGTTCAGCCCATGTCACAACCGGCCAGCCCCTCCCCGAAACATGCAAATCTTCTTTCAACATCTTTCAACTGCGCCTGGCGGACTGCAAGCTCGGAGTTTAAGCATGCTGACGAGGGAAGCTGAGAAACAAAGAATAGCAACAGCACCCAGATACCTATGTGCCCCACCATGTGTAAACTGACAGCAGAAATGTGCTGCGTCCGAGCCCCTGACCCGGACTTCAGGACCCAATCGGCAGAGGCCGGATATGAAAGGAAGGGAGCAGCTGACTCTACCATTCCACGTCATTTTTGAGGCACAGGCTTAGCGACGGAATGTAGCGGTTAGCATTGACAGACCTCCAGCGATGTCATTGAACGATTGCGCAAAAGCCATGCCAGGAACTTAGGCGCGGACTGAACAACCAACGCACCGAAGCCCAAGCCGGTAAGGCCATGTCAATACGATGCCGACCTTTGCTAGCATGACTTTATGCAAGCACATGCGGTGTCGCCTCATGCAGGGTCGAATGCCTGAGTGTGAGAAAAAATTGCAGATTTCCCAAGGAACATGAGCAGAATAACAGCGGTGGCGTAAGAGGACGGTACACAGGAGCAGGAGGCAGAGGAGCAGGAGGAGCAGGAGGAGCAGGAGGAGCAGGAGGAGCAGGAGGAGCAGGAACAGGAGGAGGAGGAGGAGGAGGAGGAGGAGGAGGTGGAGGAGTCACTTCTAGCATCCACGAGGCTGAAGGAGGACTGAGGCAGAGGCAAGACGGCTCTCCAGCATTGAATTCCGATGCCGTACAGAAAAACAAGGCCGGAACATGTAAAACGCATCCCCAAAACGGCTCAGCCACAGTCTGCATTAGCCTGTCATGACATGTCGTGTCGACGGTGTCGGCAGAAGTGGCCTTCCAGAGCAGAATGCTCATGTCTGATCTCGTAAACCGGCCATCATGATGTCGGGCTGATGCTTCGAGTACCGATCAACAAGATGCTGGATAATCAGCATCTTGGTCATGTCATGGATAGAAGCTGGCCGCAGCCGTTGCAAAGCTACTTCCTCGAGCTTTTAAGCGGCACCAGAAAATGCCAGGACACGATGCAGAAGGGTCATGACTCAAGACTACTTGCCTCGTTTGTGCAAGGACCTTTGAAAGCAGTATGCGACCGTACAAGACACTGGTACTGGTCGTCGTCGCAAAGTGTCAGGAGGGAGAGCTGCGGCATTCGCAGGACCGGGGAGAGCAGAGCACTGCTAGTCCAGCCAGCCGTGGCTCCGAAGAAACGGAAAGCTTCCAGCCAAAGCCATTTGTGGGAGAAGAACCCAGCTTAATGAACAAAGGCCGCGTCTTGGGCTCAGGCATCTTCAAAGACATCACCGATCCCAGCCTGAGCGTTTGCCGTCAATTGGCGTTGGCTGTCAGAGGCCCTCTCAGAGCCTCGTTCCCATTCCTTCTCCGGCCTGGCCAAGCCCCGTGGCAGGAAAACCAGGCCCACGAAGGACCTCGGCGGAAAGGGACATCGGGAACTCCGAAGGAGGGTGTCCTCACAGCTCAGTGCTGTCTGAGCCACAGCACAGTTGGTGAAGCCAACCCTGCACAACCAAATGCCGAAGCAGAAAATCCAAGCCTGTTATCATCCCCAGCACTACACGCGGCACTGCACGCAGCGAGATTGTATGCGACGTCACCTCGAGGCCCTTCTTGGTAGCAGCGCTGACCTGAACACGGGTCACAGTAGAAGGAAGTGGTCTGCCTTAAGGCGCTGGCGCGATACCGCGCTCAAACTTTTGGAGATCGGCGGATGGGCCGGCATTGGTCCACTCACGGCGAAGTCTGGCACCAGTGCCAACACCTCTGCTGCTTTCTGGTGTCTGCTCCGGAATCCTGCGCATGCGTGCTCCAGGTATCTGAGGCGGCAGCGTCAGGCTTTCAGTGGCAAAACAACCTGGGCACTCTGGGGCTTGCAGCGCATACGGACCCTGTCCCTGAGGCTGAGGGTACAACACCGCGGAGGCGGAGAACTGTCGATCACGGAGGAAACCAGAGCTGACGTGGCCCTGAAGGGCCGTGCAACACCTCGATCTTAACTGCCCGTGTTCTGCACAATCCCTTGGGACTTCCAAGCAGGCCGGACCACACGATGCCAAGCTTGAGTCACTGCAGGCCTCCGAGCGTCAGTGACGAGGAGGAGTCGTTCTCAGGCGCCTAATGCAGAAATGCACTCTCCGCACACTTCACAGCGCTGCGCTCTCCATTCTTCTCAGGCTGGGCCGCGTACACAGGATCGTAACAACAGGAGCAGGCCAAGGTGCAAGGAGCCTGAAGCAGATGTGGACGACCTCTGCAACACAGGCGCTCTGAATTGCTTTACATCCTCAGCTTAGAAGCACTCCAGGATCTGATGGAAAGACCCAGGTTTCGCCGAGCGGCTCAATGCGCTGAAGGCCAGAAGGAGATGCAGCAAAGCCTGACCCTCCGAGATGCCTCGACGCTGGCGGAGACCCTCCGTGGGCGAAGTCTGAAGCAGACATGAGCAGCTGTGCGACAACAATGCCGACCGGGGTAGCTGGAGTCAAGAACCAGCATGAAGGTGTCTGATCGGATCCAGCTTGCCAAGACAATGGAGCTGTCCACACCAGCCAACGCACGGAGCAAGTCAAGCTCCCAAGTTTCAGCGCGCAAGATGCGCGAGGTAGGGCTCATGGCCGCCCGAGACCTTGCAAAGAAACCGACGAGCATAGATGTGCCCGGCCTGAGGCCAGCGATGCCAAATCCAGGCATGCACTACCGAAGACCGGGAGACCACTGTCAGATGATGCAAAATCTCGGAGGACACCAATGATGCTTGCTGAGGCGGCAAACCCCGTCAAAGAAAGCCTTAAGGGGGAGGTGGGGAGCTTCCCGAAGACCAAGATTCCACTGCGGACACCGCGGCATCCAGGCGTGTGCAAAGGAACGGGTCGACAGAAAGCTGCCGAAAGGGCTCCGGATTAGCACAAGCATCGGGGGCCCCTGGTCGAGCGAAGCCCTGTGGCACTAGAGCAAGGCCTAGGCGACAGCTTTCTGGAACCAGAGTGCTCGCATCGGGCGTCCAAGTGCTCTCGGCACCAGCAGGAAGCCCGTGCTGACAAAAGACAGTCCATTGGACAGTGTTGGGCATCTGCTCAATGTTGGAACTGACGCGCTGCGGCATGACAAGGCATAGGCTACCGACGCGACTGTTGCTACAAATTTGGCAACTCCCAAGCACATCGTGTTCCGTATAGACTGCCAAACTTCAGCATGTCGAAAACAGCGGCGGGCATATCTAATCATGCCAAGCCGACCAATGATGCAGCCATGCCGAGGCAGGACAAGCTTAGGAAACACTGGAGAGAAGTCTCACACAGACATGTCACATGCCAACGGCTGGCTGTGCTAGCAACTCGGAGCAAGGGAAACACAAAGTCTTCTCTGAACAAGTTCCTTGGCAGCTAGATAGCAGCTGAGATCCCGACATCGGGAACAGCACAGAAGGAACCTTGATCGAGCCCTTGCAAACAAAGGCGGCAGCGGATGTGCAGGCAACGGCCCTTCTTAGACTTGGCGAGTCAGGGCATGAAAGGTCAGGCACAGGCACAGCTGCAAAGTCGGGAAGGGCTCCGGAGTGGCAACACGATGTCCGGCATAGCAGAACCAGAATCGATAGCAGGTGTCAGAAGCCCCGCCCAATTTGCCAGGGCTCCTTGGTGGTGACGTAGAGCCGGCACTCGGGTCGATTGTAAACAGGGGAGCATTTGGTCTATAGCAGGCCCAAGCCCGGACATGCGGAACTGTGCCATTCGGAAGAAAGACCTGGGAACACGAATCCGACAAGACACCATCGATCTGTTTGGAAGAGTCCCAGCCTTGCCAAACGCTGCATGCTGCGAAATGCCCGGTGCTCGCGACGTTCTGTATCACGATCGATGTATCGAAACAAGGCCCGGAAGCTGCCAGCGAGGACATCCCGAGGCAACAGCAGTTCCGGACAAGTGGGCTAGCTCCAAAGCGGCCAGCACAGGCAGGGAAAGCGAAGTCTCTGCCGCTGCACACATCCGAAGAGGGAAGGCCCAAGTCCAGGTGGCCAAAGCTCCTCGGAAGCAACGACGAGACTCGAGTTCGGCGCCGTCAAGCACCGGCGAAGAAGTTTAGCGATGAGTCACTGAGGAAACGAACAGTAGAAAGCCTGGATAACAGTGCTGCTGCAAAGACAACAGGCTGCCGCATGCCAAGAGATCCCTTGTCACCGGAGACATATCAGAACAGCCCAGCGAGACGGCTGCGGGACGACTGAGGGCTGTGTGAATGGCAGCATACCCAAAGTGACGAGGTCTGGGGCAGGAAAGCGGCGGACCTGAGCCGAAGAGGCACACGAAGGAAAAAGCAAGGACGCTTCTGAATGCAAAGTTTGCAACGCAGCTGGAGCCAAGCCAACTCCAAAGACACTGCTGCGGGCCAAGTCGGGCCGAGCCGCTGCGCACGGGCGGCGCCAAACTCCACAAGCCCAAGGCCAGCACGGAGAGGCTGACCCGAGCCCTGCGGTGGAGGAAAAGAGCCAAGTCACGTCACACCCACAATCGACCAGGAGAAAACGAGTTCTACACGGCTCAAGCCAAGTGTGGCTGTAAAGTCCAGAGAAGAAGCTGGAAGATCTCATCAAGTCCGGGCGCCAAGCCCGACCAAATGCAGAGGACAACACGAAACAAGGATGCTGCCCCATGTGAAGAAACATCGAGTTGCGGCGACACGCAGTTGGGCTATGCAGAACTTTGCAGCAGAGGTGGACTGGCCGTGCGGAGCTGAGAAAGCAGGCCCGAGGCAAGTGGCCAAGTATCCATAGGAACATCGAAACGCCGACTTGTGCTAGGACCGAGGCGGCCAAGGCTGCTCCAGGCTTTGCAAGCGAGCGAAGTGGCTATGAGGAATCGAGCACAGCTCTTTCTGAAGCGGAGGACAAGCCTCAAGCCAAAGCAGTTGGGCCAATTAACGCGAAAGTCCCACATCCAGAACAGATAAACTCACATCCAGGCGCACAGAGCCGGCCACGGCCTCCGAAAGTCGAAAGAGGCCCAAAATCCGCAGCAAGAGCGGGCTGGCCAGGTGCATAAATCCAGACACCAGACACCAGCAGTGGCAGACCCAGGCAAGCGTGCTGTTGGGCCGGGGCCGGCAACGGCTCAAGACGGATCCCGGACCGATGGCGCAGGCGCGATCCGGCGAAGGGCAAAAACCGAAGCAGGCGAACCAGCTTTGCCGAGCTGCTGCATAAATGTCGCTACGCCAGGGTGAGCAAATCAAAGGGGCCAGCACACGAAAGTCCAGGTGTGCACTTGACAACAGCAGGAGTCCCAGATGCAAGAAGTCCACTAGGTCACTAGTTATGCGAAAAGGGCTAGATCTGAGGCGCTCTCCTTGCTGAGATGAGAAGGGTCCAAGCGGAGGCCGCGAGCTGAGCCAGCTACATTCCATCCAGGGCATGAGCTTGTGATTCTTGTACGGCAATTGCCCGGCACCTCCGAGCAAAAGGCCATGCCAATCCCCGACTTCGGATCCAATTCCCCGTGTGAAGCCTTTCACCAAGGATTCCGTGACCTCAGCAATGCTATGCAAAGCCAAAGAAAGACTTGACTTGCCATTGAATTGAGGCAAGCCGCATCGCCCAAAGCTTTCAATGACCTCAGGCGCAAGGGTGAACCCCATGGCAGCCATGCAAAAAGCACACCTGCCCCTTTCGTATTGAGCCGCCCACGTCGGACTTCTTTAACTGCTCTGAGCCGGCCAGATCGCACAGAAGAATCCTGGCGAACGTGCGGGAGTGCAGGTTTTGCTGCATACTCTCTGTCGTCTTCAATCTACTAGCTGGTTCGAAACTATGCAAGCCAAAGCCAGGGGGCCTTTCCACCCAACTTCTGCTCCGTCTGCTTCAGTGGTCGACATTGCATGCCAATGCGTGCCGCCTTACTAATGCATGCCTTACTTACTGATACCTTCTACCCTGGACATGTGGGAGTTTCACAAAATCAAGGCCCTGAAGACAGTCGCGCGGACCGCACATGCCCTCAACGCACACAACGACAATCCACGCATTCGTGTGCAACCACTTGCACCCGCATGACTTTCCACTGACAAGCGATGCGACATTTTGGCTCCTTCAAACTATGCAAGCCATTCAGTTCCATGAATCGATGAAATGCTCAGGGTGCGCTTCGTCGTGCTGCCATTTGGCCGCCAAACAGACACGAATGAAGCGCCAAGGCTAACGCGAGCCTCTTGTGAAGTGTGAGTGCTGGGCAGGTGCCAGCCATGCTGTGCAGTGCGAGCTCTGCTGTATCTCGCACGGCACGAAGTCAGAAACATTTACACGAAGACAGCTGTCCCAGAAGATGCTGATTTACTAATACGTATATTAAATAAGAAGGTTATAAGTAGGTTCATACTTGGGGTAACTCCACTTCGGGTACTTATGACTCTACTTATAACCTACCTGCTACGTCCCCTGCCCCTCCAAGTGACGACTGTTAACAGTCAGAATAGGGTTCTGGAGTAGATTATCCTATACTTACAAGGAGGACACCTGGAGGGGCCATGATGCTTAGAGAAGGGTTTTGATTTTTTATTGTTGTCATAAGAAGAAGCCCAATAATAGTGGGAAATCTATCGGTCTCGATGTTACTTAGGATCGGCTTTAGGCTTCAGGGGTGAGAAGTTTAGCGTTCTGGGGTTCAGGGTGTAGGGTTTAGGGCTAGAGGGGTCCGAGTACTTAGGATTCTAAGCTCCATCATACCTCCTAGGTGAAGAAACTGCAAGATACCCCAAAACCCTGCTGGCCTCTTGTGACTGCGGGGTTTCTGTATTGGAGCTGAAAGTTCTGAAGGAGGCCAGGTAAGGTTGAGGGTTTAGCAGTTTGGGGTTCAGGGTTTAAGGTCCACCTGGAGGATCATGGGACTTAGTAACTGACACTAATTACGGTAACTGTACTTAAGAATACTTGTAACCCACTTAAGTCTCGCTAGCGGCAGGGGACAGCTGGCCATCGGCTCTTGAAAGCTCTCGCGGCTGCGGAGCGCACGTGCCCTCAACGCACACGACGACAATCCACGCCTTCGTGTGCAACCACTTGCACCCGCATGCCTTTACGTTTCGGCACAGGATTCAACAGCTCTGGGAAACGATGGGACATTTTGGGCTCCTTGAAACCATGCAAGGCATCCCATGCCCATCGACCACGTTGTTGTCGGCCTTGCTGTGCTCAGTTCCATGAATGGATGAATCTGTGCTTGAAACCTTCAAATGCTCAGAGTGCGCTTCATGCCGTGCTGCCATTTGGCCGCCAAACCCTCAATAGCACGGCAGGCTTTGCAACGTCTGCCTTCATTGATGTCTGGAACTTGCACAAATGAGGGTATTGAATAGACACGAATGAAGCGCCAAGGCTAACGGGAGCCTCTTGTGAAGCGTGAGTGCTGGGCAGGTGCTCTGCTGTATCTCGCACAGCACGAAGTCAGAAATATTTACACGAAGCCAGCCGTCCCGGAAGATGCTGCCTCTGCAAAGGAGCAGAAGGGATGCTGTGAACAATCCTGAGTTTAAACTTAAACCCAACTCTGTAGTCCAAGCAGCCTTTCAACTTACGTTGGCAAAGAACTCCCCGATGTCAGTCCAAAAACGCTTACCGATTAAATCGAACGAACCCTTCCGGAATAAATGTGTTAGCAGAATCTTCGGGTAGGTTGCGATGCAGTGTCCAGCTTACGAAGCATCCACAACCCAGGATCCGAAAACCGTCTCGACTATGACGACTGTAGCCCTGTTTCATGGTCTCTGCACTGAGCTTCAGCTGGCCCTGCCTTCCGTGTCCTTTGCGGGACACCTTTGCCGTCTTGCGGGTTTAGTTTCTAGGACATCCCGTTTCGGGCAAAGTCTGGGGCTCAGCTTGGCCATGCTGAAGGTCGTGAGAAGAGGTTGGCCACGCAACATCTGCACGTCAACCCCGTAGCAGACTCGTTTCAACTGCTTTGGCCAACGGCTACTTTTGAACACCGCACTGGGCACCAAAGTCCAGAGCTATGCAATATCGTCTCGCCGCGCCTCTCCTCACTTTGTACGCCACCCGAAAACGTCCGAACATCGACTACGAGCCTACCCTGCTGCCAATGCTCGTTTTCCTGACTCAGAACAATTGACGACAGAGGTGAACTGCGCAGGAGTCTTGTGGCAACGGTGCATGTCGCTACCAATTTCGCAACAGCTCCTTGCAGCACCAGCATCCGCTGGAACACACTGAAAACACCGACTGGGATTGCAACGCTGGATCAACCTGGATCAAGCACCAACGCGAGCTCACTCCATCACACGGGAAACTCGGGAAACTTTTGACAAACCACATGCGAGACACTAAATGCGCCTGCTGAAACACAAAAAAACACAAGTCCCTCCATCTTACTGACACGAAGCCCCGCCAGGCTAAACATAGTGAATCCCGCGCAAACATGCTCACACTCACACTCAGACTCACGCACCTTTCATGTCGGGAAGTATCGAGCCCAAAGCCTCAAACCATTTGGCCTAGGAGTAATACTTGCTCTGAGCGTCGTTGGGGTGGGCGCCCCATCTTCGGGCGATCTCGCACAGCTGGCTTGACCAGCAATCTTTCCTGGGTCTCTTTATGGGGGCCCATCTCGAAGGACTGCCAACTAAAGTGGGGCATTGCACATGAAAGGTGGACTCGCCGAAAGGTTCTCTTGGAATTCATCACAGGCGTCTCTTCAAGCACTGGCATCTTCACAAGCAACTACGGAGTGGCTGAATTCCAAAAGAACCTTTCGGCGAGTCCCACGCCCTTCCAGACCTTTAGATCCTCTGCATCTAGGTGTACCCCAAACTCTATAACCTTTGACAGGGCAAAGGTGGTTTCATCCGTGTCATCGCTGAGTGCACGACGGCTCCAGCGGGTGCGCCCCAGAAGCCCTGACTTCCAAGTGAGATTTTAGATTCCGAAGGTGCGGAGTCCTGGTTTGCAACTTCAGGACTAGGTGTGTCGAAAGAGTGTTTTGGGTGGTGCACTGGAGTGAAAGGTACCGCCGGGGCCCTGGCTGCGTCCAAGCGCCCCAGCAAGCGGGCCGCCGCCTGCAAAACTTCAGCGCGAGCTTCTAGCACATGTAGGGTTGATTGTTCAGGGTTTACGGCTTCGGGATTTGGAGTCGATGGTTGCGGCTTCAAGGCTTTGGGATGGAGCCTGTGTCACAAATCATAGCCTGATTGCCAAACTGGGTTGAGGGCATGTCGTTTAAGGATTTGGGCTTGTGGGTTGTGCTCAAGTGGCCAGCGAATCAATGCTTCTCCAACCACAGAAGCCTGAGCATCCTTAGCCCAAAGAGAATCTCTTTCAAGTCAGGGGCCTCTGTGCCAGCAGCACTGACCACCGGCGAGCTGCCTGTCAAAGCCAGCCGCTGCGATTGGCTTTGGAGTCTCATGTGACATGGCACACAAAGAAAGCACGAAACTCCCATAAACTGCAGTACCCTAAGAGCTCCTCAGCTTTTCCAGAGCCCATCTCTCGACGGAGTCTTGCACATCAGCTTGTTGGCTCACGCGCTTCAGTCCAGGTCTCGTGTTCCAGGAACCCAGGTCAGCTCAAGAAACCCCAAAGCCGACAATGCAGTGCCCGACTACCTAACGCAAAGCATGGCACAAGACACACAGCCGAGGCACAACAAAGAATAGCTAGCAGCTAGCACTGCATGACAGGATACCAGAAAGAACAGTGGAAAGCCAAACACGTCAAGGAAGGGCGGGCTGGCACGTACGAGACCTAGCCGAATTACAACTGCCATATTGACAATAATCCAAAGGAAGCTTTTGGGGCAGCCTCTTCGCCACATTCACATCAACCCCATCTGGACGGAGCATCTCTCTGAAGTGCAGTGACGACCACTGATCTTAACCTCACGAAACTGGCCTGACCTGTATGGGGAGGGTATTCGTGTAGGGTACTTTGACTTGTATACAGTGGGGCTGTAGGGCTCTAGCAAAGGCGGCGCACCTTGTGACATCGCTTTGGCCGGGGACGTGCTTGCCTGCTCTTGGCAAAGCCCAAGACGCTTGGGCCTTTGCAATCAACATGCCGATCTGGGCGCCCAGCGGCAGCAACAAGGTCTTCCACAAACTGCCCCGCGACATCGTGTTCCACCTTGCAGGTGCCGCCCGTGGAGCAGAGCAGGACGTCGAAAACAAATTGAGCTTCTGCGGCAAACACCTCGTCCCCTCGAGTGGAAAGCAGTGGCTCTTCCTGACGATTCGTGAGGGCAAAGCTTTTGCTCTCAGTGGCACCCTACAGTAGGCCCTACAGGGAACGCGGAAACCTTTCCTGAGACTCTACTTCAGGCATGCAGCACAGATTCGAAGGCAAGCAAAGGACTTTGAAAAGCCATATGCTCTGGGACGATCACCGGAAGCACAAGCGGCGTGAACCACGTGACCGCAGAGGGCCGCTTCCACCAATCGCAGCCCAGCGCTGTAGCCACAACCTCCAGAGTCACAAGCATTACAGCTTCAGGAACCTTCTTCGGAGATTGCGAAGTTTCAGAATGACACACATCAGTAAGCTCTGACTCTGTCTTGCTCAAAAGCGTAGGGAGCAAGCTGGTCCGGCGTTCATTTAAAGATGTTGAGGAGGATGACTCGCTTGTGTTGTGCAAAAC